CTGGGGTGAGACACACACACACACACACAACGACTGATGTGGTGTGTTCAGGGACAATACAGATTATTAGTGATGGTGGAACCGATACTTAAAAACAGAAAAAGTGTAAAAATTGTACTTGAAGAAATCTTTTTTTTCTATGCGACTTTCTACTTCTACAACATTTTGGAGGCTAGTATTGTAGTTTTAACTCCCTTCCATTTATCTGATAACTTCAGTCACTGTGCAGGTTTGGATTATTTATATGAAATATAATCAAATAATAAATGATGATGTAATATTATAGTTATTATAGATATCCAGCAGCGTATAAAGTAATTAAAATGGATCATTCTGCACTTTTACTTCAAGTATATTATACATAATATTTTTTGTATAAATGCTGCAATAACTTTTCAACTTCATCCTAAAAATATAAAACTCCTGATGAGTAACCAATCAGAGAGCTCTGTGGGCGGGACGCAGAGGTTCCCATACAGACAGTAGAGCCTCAGTGTCTCTCAGCGCCGGTACGGCTTTAACTTTGGCTTATGTTGTAATGATGATGTGATGCTCTGAGAATAATCTGCCCCTCGCTGGCTGCAGATGTCCTCACCGTGTGAAACTGAGTCCGACAGTCCGACAGCGCTGTGTGTGAAGGAATATGTCCTTATGATTAATAATAAACAGCATGTTGGGCTGTAGATGATTGTGCTGTTGTCATTCAGGCAGTGCCGCTCTCACACAGGAATCAGGTCTTCATGTGATGGATATTAAAGCTTATGTAATAGGGAGGATTATGTAAGGCGGTGGTGGGCAGACTGAGTCGTGTTCTCTCTCATCACACAGACTCTTCTCTATTGTTTCTTTCGTGCTCAGTTATTTATTTACTCTGATTACACTTGTGTTCGGGGATAATGAGGCCAATCCTCTCACATCAGATTACATCTTTTTTGTCTGTAGCTGACGGGGCAGTGAGCAGGTAGCGAACCGGTGAGTTTCCCAGGGACGGGATGTCTGGGTGTTTGCCTCCCAGCTCACCACATCATTCTGTGAAATGATTTGATCAGACACTGTGAGGGAAGACAGGGACAGGTACATCTAAGACCAGACCAGGACCTCATGGTAGTTTGGCTGTCTGTGACTGATCTGAGCAACAAAAAATGTCAAAACTGGTCCTCAGGGTGTGAACTACAGGGGAGCCGGGGGGGAGGGGGCTTGGCTCTTAATAAGATATTTTAGGGGTCTCTGAAACATTGACAGTGTCAGACCCTCCAGGGTTTTGCAGGCTTGTTTTTCAGCATAAAATGTCTTTCTAGAAAAATGCAATGCAATTTGTTTTGCAAAAAAACTGAAATAATTCATTCAAAATCAAAGGCAACTTGTTTCCCGAACAATAACAACCAATCAGAGCTGAGAAAGACACTTTGGGTTGGAAGCTTGTGGAGTCTCACTTCCAGCAGACGAACTGGGAATATCTTTCTCTGTTCTGATTGGTTGTTTTTGTTCGGGCCCGGTGGATTCTTGTAAACACCATTGGGAGCCCTGGGAGGAGCCAAAGGAACCTGATTATCATGTTCTACTGTCAGGATATAGTAAAAGTCTCAGGAAATCCTCATCTTGCACAGTCGATAGCGATACCTTGACTTCCACAACACAACAATGCTTTTTTTCTATACCAACTGTATAAAATGTTCACCTGGGAGCAGTTTTACCTCTGCACACTTTACTCAACCAGGGAAGAAACCGAATTTCTGTACAGTGTTGGTATAAAAGCAACATTAATAACGAACAGTCTGTAAACAACAGCACGCAGTCGTCTGTGCAGGTGAGCAGCTCGCAGTAAAAACACAGCGAGCCAAAGACCTCACAGTCCCGCCCACTCAGGTGTCACTACTGATCTGCAGGTTTATTTCAGCAGGAGGGAAATCACATCACTGCTGCTTTAATGCACTCAGCTCTGATCTGCCAGCTCAGACACTGTAGAGACGACTGACACTCAATGTATGAATGTGTTTCTGAGCATTACTAATCGTAGAGTTTATTATTATTATTATTATTATTCTTTGAAGGGATAGTCAAGCTTTAGGTTGTGGAACTACAGTTCCCATAAACACACAGCAACACAGTAAGAGGTGCCATGTCGTCAGTGAGTGGAACTGAACCTGAGCCCTGTTTTTTTGGCTGATATTTGTTTACATTTTGTGAAATTGGCTCCATTAAGTCTGCCAGATTATAAAGGATGAACATAAATACTTTGGTTTATGACCAACTACCTGCAGAACTAATGGCATTCCCACCAGCCTTCCTGCTAATTATCAAATATTAGCCTATTAACACTAAACTAAGATGGTAAACATCCGCATGTTAGTATTTAGTAGTGCTGCGTATAAGAGCTGCTAGCATGTCTGTAGGCTTAAACATTACAACAGCGGTAGCTTCTTCTTATATCAAAATGAAATATTAATATATTTTTAATGATTATTTACTAATTGCATTATTACAATTTTTTACTTAAGACCATGTAACATTGTCTGACTGAAAATGATTCACAGTTTATATTTAAATCATAAAAGACCAACTTTTAACCCTTTTAGCTTTGTGACAACCTGATAGAGTGATGTATGTATGTATGAATGAATGTGTGTGTGTGTGTGTGTGTGTGTGTGTGTGTGTGTGTGAATCTGTAAACACACGAATGCTGAATTTATTTGTATCTTATTAGCAAGCTGACTGCCTGCCAGCGAAAACTTTAAATATGAGTATAATAAATCTCACGTCCTGCGCCTGTGTTAAGATGAGACATTGATGTTCCTGGAGAAGGTTGAATTAGTCTGTAAAGTAATAAACTCTGCCTGCAGGGTTCTGTATGAGGGGAAGGATCAGCTGAAGCAGGGCTTGGTACGTCATCCGAGACGCACGCCTACAAGGCCGCTCGGCCAAACCTGAGCTTCCGGGGGCGCTCCGACCGGGCTCACCGGGTGTTCCTGAACGGGTACGGCGGGCCTCTGCGACTCGCAAGGCCTCCACACGGATGGGACCGTCCACCGGGACAGTCGCCCCTGCTGCTGCGCAGCAAAGGAGAGGTCGCCCGCCACACTCTTCTGCCCGCCGTCGACAAAGACACCTCATACACCGGCATGGTGAGGCCACTCCGTTCGCGCTGGTTGTTGTTGACGGAGATAAATCTATAATTAATTGTGGATTGATGATTCAGCATAATAACATTCGGTACAACGTATCTTCGCATTAAAACAACAGAGTTATGTCAAACTCCCACCACTCTGAGCCACTTCCCTGCCGAATGTTTGCACAGTTAAAAGTCTTTCATGGGAAGTTAAAGGGATTTAAAAGGGCTAAATTAAATGAGCCTTTAAACGGACCAATGAAGCCAATGCGAATTGTAACTTTATTAATTTTAGATTTTTTTTACCTGCAGACCGAGTTTCTCACCTTGTGTGTTTGTGTTCGTCCTCCAGTGGGTCCAGGCTCTGTATGTGTGGCTACAAGAGAGCCGTGGCCAAAGCCAAGGCCCTGTCTACAAGGCCCAGTGAGTATCTGTCTGTCACACGCATCTAGCCAAACACGGTCCGATCTCATGGAGCGCGTTCCCCCACACAGAGTACAAAGTTAAGCCATAATCCAAGCATGATAGAGCCCGGAATTGAAAATTGCTTGGAATTTCCTTTTTGATTTTTCCTCACATAATTTTGGTTTAGTAAGCATTGTATATACTGATTATTTTTAT